TTCTTTTATAATTGCACGAACTATGTTAATAATATGTTTAGCTTCGTGAAACAACTTGTTAACTTTCACAGGACATGTTGTAACAGTATAAAAAATGATAGGCATACGAAACTAAAACAAACTGAATCACCATCCATGTTACAACATTGGTAATACATACTATACTTAAAGGCCAATAATGACTCAGAAATGATTTTATTTTTATTTTGCAAAAGCTTAAAATTGTTGGCGTTTTTTTAAAGTATCCAAAAAACTTACTCATTGGCCAATTATCTGAATCGTCTTTTCCATCTGTTGCTTTTGGGCAATAAGTACAGTTAAAGTGAATATATGGAAGTCAAAAAACTACTTTGTTTACCTTTTTAACTTGACAAATCATTCCTTTAGCGCTATGTAAGGTAACAAGTAAGTTTCGTTCTCTAAAACCATGATCTAAACATTATAAAATTCATGTTTGCCCTTTTAAAAAAATATCTGTTTCTGAGACATAATGTCCATTTAAAGGTAATGTTCAGATTTTGTTTTTATTCAACATATCCTTACACATAACTCAATAATTCTAGTATTTTTATGCTTTTATTTATTAGTTCAATTAATATTGACCCGAATGTTTTGTTGTAACAGTTACAGTAATGTTTGATTATTTCATCGACACATATGATTTGTTTTATATTCTGACATAACTTACACTAAGTTGGTTTTATGAGGAGTAAGCCATCTGGCAGGAGGTGGTTTGTGATGGAGATAACTTGATTATTTAATAAGGATCACTCAGTTTAAATATCTTTATAGTTTGCTATGTTGAACATACGTTGAATGCGGTTTGTTGGTAAGATTAATTATAATCTGACGATATAAATTATGTTGTATTTACGTACATTCTATGTTTCCATAGTCAGTTGTTCTGTTTTTTTTAATTTGTTTGAATTATCGTAAACATTGCAATAGACTATGTCTAAAGAAATATGTATAATTTATAAGTTAAAAGGGCTTTCGGACAAAGTATATCAAAGATGTTTGTGAACGCATTCTTGGCGTGCCATTTATTAAGCTTTCATTTGTTTACATGGAAATGGATATCAACTTTGTAGCCATGACATTGTTTTATCTTTGAAAGAATTCTTTCGACTGCATTCACATGTCAGGTTTGTATGCGAAATGTAAGTGCTGTCTGTAATAGAAAACGATATTGTTCTACATATAAACCGAACGTGCATGCAAAAAACAGTGAGGTGTTATTGTTTAGATGTTGGCAAGATTCCTGTCAGTTGCTCACCTTGTTAACAAACAATGTGGCCATGGTTATATGATTATGTCAAAGGTGATTGAATCAGTGTATTTATTTATGTTTCTACTTCTTCTGATATAATCAACAGAAGATTACATTGTAATTTCCTTAATTTTCCTGACTCCATCTTGAAAGACAGGATGTTAGCTGTAATAGTTTTATTTCTGTACTTAATCATTTCTTTATTAACCTTTTTGGTGACATGAAAGGTTGGTTAAGAAGATTCATTTATAATAAATTATTAAGTTTTATCATAGAAATGAAGATATTATTTTGATTATTATGTCAATCCGGTACAAAGAATTCACGAAGGGATGTTATCATGGTCTTGAATTATTGCCATTTCCACCAACATCATTGTGTCAGCATCAATTATTAAGAATGTGATACGCATTTTAGAAATACTGTAACTGAAAAAAGAGTCATTTTTTGAAGTAGTAATTATTGACATGATATTGGTAGAAGTATTGAGAATGATAGAATTGTGAATAATTGTTCGTATCATATTAAAATTTACCAGTGGCGAAGTCCAAGATGTCGTAGCGTTTTTTTGTACGTGTTGCAGAATGTGATTTTTAGGAAATGAGAAATTAAGTTTTAAAAACATGATTTTATTATATTACCAAAATATGTATGTTGCAAATATATAATTTAATGGACCACATCTTTTTATAACGAACGGTGTAATTCACCATGAAATAATTTGATATTTTCCATCGAATAAAAATGTTTTTTTCAGCTTATCCATCGTACATTAATGATATTTTATCACCACAGCAAGTAGGAGAATGATAAAGTTTAACATTCCATGTAAATTTATTATTTATTGAAAATATACCATAATGTTAATATATAATTATATAATACATGTATGTTAAAACAAATAGAGTTTTAGCGTGAATTGATAATTACGACATAAAGAATTTGGAATGGAAACTTATTCTTAAAGATTGCAGAAATTTCGTGTGTTAAAATCTTTTGTTTAACTTACATTTACCTAAAGTTTTAATTTAAAGCCAACACCAGTTCGATGTTATCTCAGATATTGTGATATTCGAAATACTATATAAAGATGATATCATGCGAATCGTGAATGAAATTCTTATCTATAATTTATACCATTTTTGTAGGCAGCCGGAAAAACAAATGTTTTGCAAGGCTTATTATGTTGAAACTTGCTGTTTGAGTTTAATATTTTTAGTGTTTCCGTTTTTTAGGGACACCCCGTCACGCCGTACGATTAATAAATCTTAAATTGCCACGTTTCTGTACGGTGTTAAATTGCGTCAAACTTGCTGCTATTACATCGCTATGGTGAAGCATGATTTTGTGGGGGATACATTATATGAACATTGCTCTTTCTTTGTTTATATACAATCTCAAATTGGATATTCCTGTTTTACCTAGGCCGTTAAACCATTCAAAATCTGAGACATTTATTTCTAATTATCATAGTATCGAGGATCGTTTTGTATTATGGTATTATATTAGTACATTATTCGCATCGAATATCAAATTATAATTAACACTCAAGATAATTTATCTCTCTCCCCGTGGAGACCAAACAATATGCCTCGTTACAACAGTGAATATTTTATAAGCATTTGCGCAAAAGCAACAGGGTTTAACCAATTACAATATGAATACAAAATACCGCTACTTCACTGTTATAATTGTACCTGTATAAAAAAGTATAGCTGTCAATATGGACCTGCAACTTTGATTTTCATCTCGCATGGTGACATTTTGAAACAGCGGTGTCCGAAATTCGTCTTTAACCTAGATCACGTGACATCGTGTACTATGCGATGCATAATTTTTCAGTTTTCACATTAACTTTTGGGAAAGAATTGTGAATTTTATATTACAAAGATTATATCTTCCAAAAGGTGCAATCATTCGTAATTATGTTGTATTGCGCTATGGCTTGTTGAAATGATACGATTACTTTATAATCATAATCCATCTATTCCATGAATAAACTGTTTTAAGCACTCATTAAAAATCCATTTTTTTTTCACACAGGCAATTTGGATATCTGAATACAATGTATAACATTATGCATAAACCGGATACCAATATTTAAATATACAAAAACGAGTATAATATCAATCATCAAAGTGTAAAAAAGTATATGAATAATTCTTGTTTGCCTGGACGTTTTGTATTTAATCCAATTATTAACTATTTAAATATGTATGAAATAAAGAACAACGCTAATAATCAAATTTACATAAGTGCAGGAACCAGCATTACCATATAAACATCATTTTACAGGATAATTATTGTAGTTGGTCCACTGTAACCAAATATATGCATAGCACATATATTTTAAGCAGTATGCTTTACGCAAATACCTAGGGCGAAATTTGCTTCACTCCAAACAGTTTTTTTAAAACAGGCATATGATATAGACAGTTTTCCTCCAGTTTTGATTGTCACAAAGTATCTTATTTATTGAATTTGACTTACTTATGAGAACTGTAATATTGCAGGGCGGTGTTTATCCAAATGCTTGTAATTTAAACAAGTGCATTCACAATAAACATCTGGAACATATAACAATAGCATTACATTTGCATTATAGAAATAATAGCTTGAGGGCACCTGAATAAACTCTTTCCTTCGTAAAACAATGCTATAGCTACTTAAACATGTAATGATATGTTCGATATAAATACAAAATGCAATAAACAGAAGCCACATGCATAACTAATACTTTAAGTACTTTAAGTTCTTGTGATCGTTTTACATATACATTGTACACATATAATATTCTCTTACATACAAGTTGCTAGTTCCTTCATAGCTTAATTTTCGAAGAGGACTTATATGTTAATGACAAAGCATTTAAGGATACATGTTTGACCAAGGATCTATTTGATCTCTTTGTCTAGATAAGAGTTTATACATTTACATAATTGGTAAAGCTACAAAACTCTTAACACTGGCTAACAGAAATAAAAGATCTTAATTTGATCACTTAAAAGAGTTTGTTAAAAAAGGCATAATCATAGCGATTATATATTAAAGGAGGTTGTAGCATGGTGGCAAAATTGTACGCTTTAAATAATTTAAAATGTAACATGATGATCTAGCATCATCTAATTCCTTTGTTAAAGTTATTGAATAAACAATGAAGAAACTACTTTTTAAAGAGAAAAAAGTATTCATATTTGTTTATTTAAATTCCTTTATTGTATTTTATTGTATTTTTAATATGATTTTTTGGAGTTATTATTTATGCAACTGTCAGCAAAATTACACCATAATACAACACAAAAATGTGACGCAGCCTAAAATACATATATTTATATAAATTTAAAGGTTAAAGGTATACATACATACATAAATACATGCACACAATTAATCTTAGCTATACACGTAAACAAGTCACACAATCAATCGTATTTAACGAATTTATCTTAAAAAGGACACAAAAGTAATGGGATAAAGGCGATACAACTTGCTGAAAATGTAAAATGACATTCCGCCAAAAAAAAATTGCAAAAAAGTACTTTTTAGCCCAGCTTTCCAGCGCAATATTTAACAGTTTATGTCCATGATTGAACGTGTAAAATGGTATCTTAATTGTTTACATTTATGGAGAAAACAAGAAATCTGTTGGGGCCAGGTTTTACAATCACATAATTTTACATGATTCTAAGTACAATGGTCACTAATTTAATCCCCATGATCAATTTCTTTTCAGACGATGAGCAGAAAAGATATGAATGTTTGGTGCAGACCTTGTTTGATCCATCCAAATACAGTCCTCTTGTACGACCCGTACAAAATATCAACGAAACACTGAATGTTGAGTTCAGCGTCCAGCTCAGTCAGATTATAACTTTGGTAGGTTTTGCTTTGATTTATACCAGACTATTTCAGTTAACAATTACTCATTATAAGTTATAATTTTCTTTATTATAATAACAGAACTTTCAGTTAAATGCTTGAGTTTTTTGTATGAATTAAAGCGACATGCTCACTTTTTCATTGTCAAGTTGAGCTGAATTGACTATATATTTCAAACAATGACTGTTGCAATAGCTATTGACTGACAGTTGATATTGAAAATGTTGAGGATAAAATATTAATCTGCCGGAAATTATAACAGGTAAATTCCGATGGGTATTTATGGAACTTTCATTAGGTCACGTGAGTTATTTTATTTAATCGTTCGAGATAAGTAAACTATAAAATTGAAAGGAAATGTAAATTTGTTTTGACTCTCAATATATCTTTAAATTGGCATAATGGTTACTTTATATTTAACATAGACATTTTAAATATTCAGGATGAGAAGAATCAGGTCATGAAAACAAATGTTTGGCTGCAACTGGTGAGTTATTTGGGTTTAATATTATCTCTTGTAAATATATATATTGTTCGCCCAAAAACATATCCCTTTGTCTTGTTTTAAATAAAACTGAATCATGTCCATCCATCGCAAATATTCGCTGTCATCTTCCTGGTATATAAATGCTCACTTCTAATTCTTTGTCCTCAATTGCAATATTTTTGAAAGTCTTCATACCTTTAAATCACTGATCATGTTGTCTTGTTTGAATAACTCTTTCTTCTTCCTTCCTGAAATTTGTTGTAATATTTTAAAATGTATTGGGTATTACCAGATTCCATCCTTGTGTTTTACTACACATATTATTATTTGACAATTTATTAAAGTTCTATTTATTGAGTAATATATAATTTCACAATAAGCTGTATGTCAGTATAAATGGTTAGTTTTTTTTTTCATTTCTGTTATTTTGTTCAGTACTGGAGAGATTATCAACTGGCATGGGATAAAAAAGGATACGAGGCATATAATGATATAACAGTGGTGCGAATTAGACCTGACCTTATATGGCGACCAGATGTCGTATTATTTAACAAGTAAGTTGCACATAATTCTGTAGCAAATTGTATTGGTATAGAATGACGTCATTACAAATCATCACGATATTAAAAAGTCATATATACAATAAAAATGTTATACCATAAGTACACCCTTATATGAAATATTTATGACTTAAATTACCCATGACGTTTTCTTTTTATGACAACACCTTATTTAAGAAATCTCCCAAGTGCTTGAAATATTTTGGTTTTTAGCGTTTGCTTAAAAATTGCAAATAGTATTCATTAAGGACAATGTCTCAATGGTACTTTTATGACATAATAATGTTTATTTAACTTCTGACAGGGAACTAAAAATTTAAAGCAATTTAAATCACCTATTTGTGTTGCGGCAAGCAAGAAATAGTGTAACATAAATTCTTGAAGTAACAAAGGGGAAAACAAGACCCTCATATATGAGTCTGTGTTTAATTTCTGATTACATTTTTAAAAAATAAAGAAAAAATAGGTGTGTAATTTTCAAGACATTTTAAACTAGACATGTAGCTCTTAATATACGTGTGTAATTTTTAAGTTCCTTAAAAAGTTAAATGAACTATAAAAATCAAGTACTATTGCAAATAGTTCAAGTACATTTTGAAATAGTTTTATATAAAGATATAAAGTTGGTTTTTTTATATATATTATTCTTTTAGTGCTGATGGGAATTATGAGGTCTCCTACATGTCAAATTGCCTTGTATTCAAAGACGGCACAGTAAATTGGATTCCACCAGCTATCTATAAAAGCTCTTGTAAAATTGATGTTCAGTACTTTCCCTTTGATGAACAAAATTGTGATTTGAAATTCGGCTCCTGGACATTTTTGGTACGTTTGCATGATTCTGTAAAACAGTATGCGTATTATCTATTAATAATATTTTACAATTTTAATTCACTGTTCTGTAAACAAATACAAGTTTCTGTGTTTTACTTTTAACATATAATTGTCACTGTACTTTTTACAAGAAAGAATATCATGATCGAAATCAAATTCAAACATCAGGATTATATAGAAAACATAATTATTTAAATATATTATTGTGGATGTCTGAATGATCTTTACTGCATAGAACACGAATTACCCGTCCAATGCAATCGACATATGTGATATGATTTATGATTTTATCTTTCTTGTGCATATTATATCATTATAAAATCATTTGTTATTTCAGGATCATCAGTTGAACTTTTCTTTTTACAAAAAAGTTTCACATTTTGATGTAAGTGACTATCTTACAAATGGTGCTTGGGATATAGTTGAAGGAGACGCTGAAATAAAAAAGACTTCCACAGGAAAAACTAATGAATTTAAAGCTATGGTGATATTCCGACTTCGTTTAAGGCGAAAAACTTTATTTTACACTGTCAATCTAATTATTCCATGTGTTTTAATTTCATTTGTGACATTATCTGTGTTTATTTTACCGGCTGATGCTGGCGAGAAAATTACTTTATGTATATCCATTCTTCTTGCTTTGGTTGTGTTCTTGCTGCTGATTTCAAAAATACTTCCACCATCATTAACTATTCCATTGATATCTCAATATCTGTTGTTTACATTTATTATGAATATTTTAGCTATCGTGAGTACTGTTATTGTGATAAATAGAAATTACAGAACGCCTAGAACTCACCAAATGCCTTACTGGGTTAGACTAGTGTTTTTAAATTTTCTTCCAAGAATAATGTTTATGAAAAGACCAGACCACGACGATCGATGGAACGAAACATCTGATGATAAAGGAGATACTCCTCCCAAAAGGAATATTAATAGAGACCCAGATTTAACTCGGACTACACACAATTGTTTACCACAGGCACAGCCTCAACCATTTAGTGGAGGAGAAATTGAAAATTTGATAGAAACTCATCATGCTCATTGTCGTTTAAATGCCACCTCTCAACAGGAAGAAGATTCAGCTGGTAATATGGAGACATCATTCATAAACAAAGCCTTAAAACCTGTATCACAGGAAATATATAGAGCAGCTGAATCTGTCAAATTCATACATAGACATCTTAAAAAAGACGACGAATATCACACTGTAAGTATCTTTGTTAAATCAATTACATGTGGGCAGGTAACTGATCACAGAATGAACACGTTTTTTCCGAAGGTATTGTCTGCAACCAACTTTAATATTTGTATAGGTAGTGGTATTTAATTGAAGCTAAGTTTATGTTATTATTAATACTGTTTGTCTGTCAGTGGATCCAATTAACATTTCACGCATCCTGATATCTTTTCAGTTTTATCTTTTTCTCCAAGTCTTAGGACATGATGAGACCTATAGGTCAAATAAGGCCTTTAGGTCAAATAAATTACTTTTACTATGAATAGGTAAAATGTATGACATCATCTGCGTTTTTCCTCAGGATGACTAAGATTTACTAAAGATCAACGTTCTGTTTAACATTTACTTATGGTTTCCATTATTTATAATGTGGCAATATAATTATATTTTAGGTTATTGATGACTGGAGATATGTTGCCAGGGTGATTGACAGGCTTCTCTTTTCTATCTTCTTCGCTGTTACTGCGTTTGGAACATTGGGTATATTCATGAAAGCGCCACATATTCTGGAGACTGTTGACCAAAATGAGATCTTGGCTGAAATGAACGCAGCATGGGATGCGGTGAAATCAGCATAGATGCAGATCATTCATTCAAAAAGAAATGTGGACGGTAGAACGAACAAATAGTCCTATTTTGATATTTTTACATAGTTATTAACAACTTATCATCTTAATTTGTGAATGTAAACCTTCGACATCTGTCATCATCTGCGTTTTTCCTCAGGATGAAATAACACAAAATAATGCAAAAGGTCCTATGCATTAACAATAGTCTACAGAACATGATTATTATAGGAGCGTGCATGCTCATCGTTTCTCCTTATTGTTAACAACCATAAGTCATTTTATTGTTTATATGTTATTATATTTTTATTTGTTTAAAGCAAGGGTTGTAAATAACAGGTATTTATTATTAAAATTGATAAAAAAGGAAAGTGTATGAGAGACACACAGATGCAAATGGTATGCCACAAATAAATATACATGTACATACTTGTTGTAGTATTAGGAATATTATCAAATGTTAATTGAGTAATATATTTCTAGATAAATATGTTGTTTTCAACCAGACCAATGCATCATTGTCTTTCCCAACATTGTAGGAATCATATTTACAATGACATTTTACAATCCATTCCTTGATTTTACCTCATTTGACAAACATTTGCATTTGTTTTGTGTCAATAGCTCCATCTATAACGGCTATCAATTAAGAGTTAAATGCTGAAAATACATGTATATTCCTATTCAAGAATATGATCAAAATTCTAAAGCTCTATTCAACTTACTAGATACTAGATAATGGAATTTTAGATGTTTTAAGTGCACGAAGAAAGATTTCACACATTACAACGAAGACTCAATTATATAATTTTACATTAATTTTTTGCATTATTTTCTTAGGACAATCCGTCCGATCTGTGCCTTATGCGAAGAATGGTAAATTGCATTCATTGCAATATTTTTCATACCATTTTGTCTTTCAGGCGTAATGGATTCTTATAATAAGTCTAGACTTATGCATCATACTTACATATGTACATGTACATTTAGTATGTTTTATATACCTCCAAAACGTTGGAAGGTATATTATGAATATAATTATGAAACACATTTTTGTTCTAATTTTAAGCCCACAAGCTTTTTTTATAAGGAAACAACTAAGATATTATTCAGCACTTATTTGCCGAAAACTCGTTTTGCTAAATACTTTAAATTACTATTCCTAACTGTATCATAAAAATTGTTATGATGTGTTTACCGAGTTTCATCATGAACAAACACAACGTGGTCATTGTGAACTGTTTTAATTGTTTGATTTCCATCGTATATCCCTTATCAGTGACGCTCTCACACTTTTGTCCATTCTAAAACAATTTATCATTACATTTTTGTGACTCCTTCATTGAGATTCTATTAAATAAGATAATCATTTTATCATAAACATGATTCCTGTGATTTTAGTAACGAAGAGATCAGTAAGTCAACACAAATTTATAACCTTTTCCACGACCATTTCGTCTGTGGGGACGAAAAATTTGTTGACATTTGATCTTATGTTACTCATACTTTGATAGGTATTTTTATCTTTATCTGAATTTGTTACTGCGACCGTTGTTTTAGAACTGTCTTGAGGATATTTGTCAGTCAGAGATATAATAGATTTACTAACATGAATATAATCACCAGTCGTGACACTTCAAATATCATTTTTTTCACATCTATCTTAATGCTTATGTCACTGCATTATTGGTGCCATACTATTTATATGTACGTTTTTGTTTTGTTTTGATGAGAATAAAAAGAATAAAAAGAAATTGCGAACATTTCATTTCACAAATCGTCTTGTAGTGTTTGTATTTATTTCCTTTTTCCTCAGTAGAAGACAGCAACTGGGTTATATAATATAACAGATCGTTTCCTGCAGTTTTGAACCATAATTATATTAAAGTATCTACATGTAATTTGGTGTTTCATATCGCAATTTTGTCCTGAACTTTGAAGCTAACACAATGTATATCTTCAAGATAATGGGTGAAATAATTACGTGCATTCAGTTGTTTCAACAATAAAAGAAATATAAAAGATGAAGAACATACATGTAGCTCTTTATATTTTTCTTAAAAATTATCTCGGGAAATGAGACTTTGAAACAATAAACATGTGAAATCATACATTATTATTGGCGTTATGTAGGACTATATCAAGCCCTTATTAACTTGGAGCCTCTTAATAATACTAGTTTTACATACAAAATACAGATGTTCACATTTCAAGTTAAGAAGTCCCTTTTGGAGAGGGCTCGTTAAAAGGCCGTCTTGTATACATGGATATTCCCAGTGGTTTTAATCTGGGACTTTCTTAACCAAAGGCCCTTTCAGACAGAGAACTGTATTGTACAACTTCATTAGGTTTCTTAAATCCCAGTATGTGTCACTTTATCCTATGTGATTAGATTGTATACGTGACAACAATAATAGACTAGATTTTGATATCAGATATTGCTCTGCTAAGTAATTTTCAAAGTATTAAGATAAAAGAAAGTGTCGTCGGGTGAAGCAAGGCAAAATGTTATCAATAGCAAAATAGGCCCATTTTAGAATAGATTGACTTCTTGTAAAAGTAGATTTCTCTTTAGTATATCGACACAAAATTATAAATAACACCAGTATATCACACACAGTCACGTGGTTAAGGGACCGTGATAAAGATACAATGAACTTCAGACCCGTCTGAGAGCCTTATTCAATTTAAGTTATAACAAAGTAGCAAGATGAATTTATACAATCCATTAGCAGTTTATCCGAACATAGTTGTATCTGTTTTTATTAATATCATAATAGTATCACTCACTCCCAACATATAGGTATAATTACAAACATTGTAAAATCATATGTTCAAACAAGTAATATATATATACTTTCAAAAACACAGTGAAATATGTAAGATGTTACGTACACTTTTTAAAAGACATTTGTCTTATAATTCATTAAAAAACTCTTCAGCAACAAGAAATAACTGTTATTGTTAAGGAAGGTTCATGTATACTAAACTCAGAAATAACCTTAGCAACTTCAAATCGAGTCTGCAATTTTCATGTAATTTTGTTGTGATTAATGCTTCCGAGAGATCATCACACTTTTTCCAGATTTTTATACATTACAACAGCAGGTGTCAAGTGCTGTGTGGCAGACGTGAAAAGTTGCCCTGTACTTCAGTGTGGTTATATTTTTCTGGTCCTGCGGGATCATTGAGTGTTGTAAATTGATTACCGCTCAAGCCGGTGCTAGGGGGCGTAGGGATGTTGCACTGTTTAATTATCCATCATGTACAGACTCAATCAAACCGGGTCTGCAATTTTCACGTAATTTTGTTGTGATAAATGCTTCTGAGGGATCACACTTTTTCCAGATTTTGAAGCAGGTTTACATCTGACACATATCTTTTCTATTGGTTTGATAATTAATAAAATTTTAAATAAATATCCTTTATTAGTACTCTGTCAAATATTATACATTAATTTTCCTACGTCTCCAAAAAAGAAAATAGTTAAAATCAATAGATCTTTAGTGAAGTAAATGACAATAAACAGGGTCGTAAGTATTCTTAAATTTAATTTCTATGACAAATGTAAAATAGTTTGAACCAAATTTGATAAAAGCAGGTCGTTCAAAGTTAGAGCAGAAACAATAAAACAATTTTTATTTGACATAAAATACGAATCATTTACATAATTTGTTGTATCATCCTTTTTATAAATTTTAACTACATTCGAGATTATCTAATGTGGGTGTAAAAAAAGCTTCATGCATATTCTTGTGTATTGTTTTATGTCTTTATGCAGCAAACTATAAGTTCAGCTACATGTATGACCAATATATGACCAATATATGACCAATGAATAACATGTTGGTAATTGTAGCGGGTCATCAAAATAAAAAGCTTTTAGGAAACAAAAATTATATCAATTTCGAGGCTTAATAAGCCTTTGAATCAATGCCTTGTTTAAATGTTCCGAGAAATACCCGATGTAATCAATCTTTGCGCGTGAATGGCCAATTGTTTAAGTGCACAAATCTATAAAATCCCGTCTTAATCAGTATAAATGAGATTTAATACATATTAAGCTGCATTCCAGGAATACTTAGTTTTCTTTGTAATCACACGAAGCTGAGTCAAAGCACGAAACAACATTTTAAATAGTTTGTATAAATGACGACGGAGATGTGTGAAATACATTAGCGTTTGATTTAAATAAATACGAGTAATTTTATATGTCTTCGAAATGCTTTTGGTAGCACACCACAGTAATGTAAGCCACAGCTTCGAATGGCCAGGGAGGATTTCTTGGATATAGTGAATATTCTGGATTTAAATGACTGGTTGTCTTTAAAATGCATTTTCAGCATAAAATTTGTTTTTGTGACATCTAATATGATCACTGGCAAATTCGAAAACATGGCCAGAAATCACATGCTGTTGATTATGAATGTCAAGGCCGCCATTTTTTGTAAACATTGCTTTTATACAGCATGCACGGTAAAAAGAAGTCATTTTACAGGGGGGTACAAACTTTTAGCAGTAGCAAAAAATCTACAAGGTTGAGGACTAGTTTCTTTGTGATATTTTGCATGTATAGGGAGTTGCTAAAGCAGAGACGGTGTTCCTTTAGCCTGTATATTTGCAGATATTTTTTGCCAGAGGGTCGAAATGTGTTGTTTTGGGTCTCGGGCCACTGTAGATTTTGGGCTTCAACGGAATGAATTGCAAATTTTTTGACTGCCTGCCTATTGCAGATGGGATAATTTCTTTGTAGATTTGCAATCTTATGTCATATATGTTCTCAACAAAATGTGTTTTCTTTTTCCAGGTTGTGTAGTTTGGTATCAGAATTATTAGACGTATTGCTTGTAGGACATTGACGGCAGAAACTTGAAATTAACTGTGGAGTGCTACCTTAAGGTAAAATGATTTTTTTTCAAACCTTGTTTTTTCGCATTTAACTTTGTGTAAAGGCTCTACCATGCACACTGACCAAAATGATGGTGAAATTTCATAAAAAATATTTATCACAGAGCTTGAAAGTTAGGTTTAAAAAGGGGAGGTAACTCAAATACATGAAAACCTAAATGTGAAATGTATGAAAAGTGCTGTGTCTGCCATGTGTCTTAAGTCATAATGACTACTTATTCCAGGAGAGACAGCTGTGGGAGAGTGAAAATATTCACATATAGAGCTATTCGGTTGATATTTTCCTGATTTTCCAAACTTTTTTGGTGGAAAAAGGCATGTTTTTATTGCTTTTCAGCTGTACATGTAGAATATGGCCATCGGGCATGTTCCATGTGATGCGAAATATTTGTGCGAAGGGATATGTTTGCTTGAAATCATTTACAGGTGCAAATGGATGTTAAAGCTAGGTTTTCGGGTTAGAATTTGACCATTTTGGAGTTGGGCATGCGAGATTGAATAGTCGGAGAATTTGGTTTTCAGGGTGTTGCTTGGTGAATTTCGATGCCCTGGGCGACCAACATTGATAGATCTACAATGCTCAGAGGGCCATGATAAGTGCTGTGTCTCTTTGAATTTGACTTTACGTAAAACCTTTATGAAAATTGTGCATGCTAATTGGATTTTATACTGTGCAAGATTGAAAAAAACATAGCACATTTTGGTGTCCGGCAAGAACATAATCTGTTGTATTTTTGCCTTATATGAAGCATGAAGCCATATATACTTAAACTGTATGCCAATTTGTTGAATATTTCTTTCATATTAGATGTTATAAGGACATATTTGAACATTTTGATTGTATAGATGGTATAAGAACCAGATTGTGTACACTTTACATTGGGAATACTTTCTTATTCTACATGTACTGAAAAAGGCTTGCCGAGGGCTGAAAATGGGATGGACAGCATAGTTCATTTAAGGCATAGATAATGAAAAAACAAACAATTCCCAGCAAAAATTTTCATTTTGTTTATTGAAATATGCATGAATTTGTAGAAAAAGTCCATATAAAGGTCATCAATCAATGTTATGATGCCCCTTAAGGTAGCACACCACAGTAATGTAAGCCACAGCTTCGAATGGCCAGGGAGGATTTCTTGGATATAGTGAATATTCTGGATTTAAATGACTGGTTGTCTTTAAAATGCATTTTCAGCATAAAATTTGTTTTTGTGACATCTAATATGATCACTGGCAAATTCGAAAACATGGCCAGAAATCACATGCTGTTGATTATGAATGTCAAGGCCGCCATTTTTTGTAAACATTGCTTTTATACAGCATGCACGGTAAAAAGAAGTCATTTTACAGGGGGGTACAAACTTTTAGCAGTAGCAAAAAATCTACAAGGTTGAGGACTAGTTTCTTTGTGATATTTTGCATGTATAGGGAGTTGCTAAAGCAGAGACGGTGTTCCTTTAGCCTGTATATTTGCAGATATTTTTTGCCAGAGGGTCGAAATGTGTTGTTTTGGGTCTCGGGCCACTGTAGATTTTGGGCTTCAACGGAATGAATTGCAAATTTTTTGACTGCCTGCCTATTGCAGATGGGATAATTTCTTTGTAGATTTGCAATCTTATGTCATATATGTTCTCAACAAAATGTGTTTTCTTTTTCCAGGTTGTGTAGTTTGGTATCAGAATTATTAGACGTATTGCTTGTAGGACATTGACGGCAGAAACTTGAAATTAACTGTGGAGTGCTACCTTTAGGAACAATGTAGTACTCTATGAAATCTACCGAGCTTCCGGGTTAATTTTTTTACTAAATTAAATACTTGTTTCAATAAATGAGAATAAACAGAGATATTTTCATTTTGATATTTACCCTTTCGCAGATAACTTACACATACTATGACGACAAAGACTGATGACAGTATTCGCCGTGGAAATATCTCATCATATTGAACATGTTTTGAATCATATGTTCCACCACAGCTTTGTTTAATCCATATTTCCACTATTTAGATATTATACATTTACGTGTAACTATAATATGAATATACAAGGTAAGCTTTTAAAAAAGCTAGTAGCGACTCGCTTCGTATTTTTTTTAAAGGGGTGTGTTTAAATGTAAAAATGACAGTTCTGTTAGCTGAAGAGACTTCAGCGAACATCAAAATAAAAGTGAAGTCAACACTGGCCCGGTGCCCGATGGCCAGTGTATATAAGTTCAGGCCAGTGTAAATTTAAGAAAATTTTGTTAATTATTTAGTAGAATAAATTCAAAACTGGAATTCGGGCCAGTAAATTCAAAATCTTAAACTCATTGACTGAAAGTGACATATAAAGTTCTCTCAGTTTAACCAAGATGAGTATGAGTATATATGAAGGTGCATGTAAACAGATAAAATGAAGAACCTATGTCTATGCACATTTACTATATGGCCTGTTGACCTTGACCACAAAATGTTAGATAGGTAGATTTCATAAAGATGTCTCTTTATACAAAATTAAGTTGTAATACATGTATGTTATTTAGTATTGGAATGAGAGGCACAAGTCCTAAAGTAAACACAAGTTGTCAATCAATTCAGCCAGAAAAGCCTGGATCCTATTAAGAAATATAGGGATCCCGGAAATTGACCAGTCTAAGAAGATGTTTTTCAGATAAGCCGGGATCCTATTAAAACATGTAGGGATCCCGGGAATTGACCAGTTCAAGAATATAGTTTTCAGAATAGCCGGGATCGTATTAAAATGTAAATAGATCTCACGGATTGGCCAGTTCAAGTATATAGTTTTCAGAAAAGCTGGGATCGTTTTAAAACATATAGGGATCCCGGGATTTGACCAATTCAAGAAAATAGTCTTTGATTTTTCCAATTAATTAGGCATATTATTATTAGTATTGTGATTTCCGCATTTTAAGTTTGTTAATTAATAGCTCTAAATATATCTATATTCTAAGTTAAATTAATTTAACGTTCATTATATACAATAAAAAAATTAACGTTTAATGGCCTTTCATTACGACAATAATCAACACAAATATAGTTCATTAGGTTTTTCCTCCATATCTTATATGATCCCGGATCCCGGGCGTCCCGGATCCCGGCCAGTAAATACATACACTAAATACCGGAAAGGATAAAATGACCGGAAAAAAGGAAAAATAAAAAATGCACAGAACCAGATGTACACTTATGTTAATTAACCAAACGAAAACTTACTACAGAGAAAACAGGTGAAATCGCTAAATCAGAAGTCAGTGTAAATATGATTTATTGAAAAGAATTCATAAAGACAAACATTTTAATCATCATTATATCTTTGCGCTCAAAACAATACTTGCTGATTTTTAAAAATGGCGTGAAAATTGAAGGTTTTTTGACGCTATGTAAGATTAACTTTGATTGGCTAAATAATTTTGGATCCTAGCCCTGATAGATAAATTTTGTAGAAAGCTGGAAGCCAAGCTTCGATTAAATATTTGGATAGCTTCGGAGTTTTAGGTTGTTTCTCAGTAAAATCCTACCGTAATACCGGCTCGCCGTGGCGAGCCGGCATCAAAGGTGAAAGTGAATACTTAAAGGTTCTATAACTGTAAACACGTGTAGTAAATTATTACATTATAGTACTCCCAGTTGCAATTTATCAAAGAAACTACTCTCAATTAACGTCACCTTTTGATGTTCGGATTTCTTTCCGGTATTTTTGATCGCAATAAAAAAGTTATTTTTATACGGTATGCCACTAAAAGCTACTTTTAGATTTTTCATAACCCATAATGTCTAACAGATATATCATAATATTGCAAATTCTTTCCTCAAATATCTTAAAACAAGCTGAAATTTGCAAATAAATTTGGCATAGTATTACTCTTTTACATTTGATATGTCTCTGTAGAGTTTTACTATTTCATAAATAAATGAAAGTGATATTTATTATCGAAGCTATGTATCCGTTGAGTATTTGCTGAGACAAGATGACGTGGTTTTATTATCATCTAGATGTAAACAAACTTTTGTAGTTTCGTTTTATAATTCATAAAATTGATATAAACTCAAATAACTAAAAGCATTGCAAGTAGCCACATGGGCATTTAATTCATTTATTTTCTTTTTTACGTAAAATGCGCATATGTTTATCAGACATGATTCTCCATAATTATTAAGTTTGTATTTGATAATAATCCATATTTCCATGTCCGATCTAATAATCTCGCTATATCATTTATGATATATAAAAGGTTACTGATTCATGACCTCAAAGGAAATTTAAACGTGCTGCTATTTCTCAATACACGAATCTTTTCAGTATTATACAGCCGAAATAAATGAGTACATGTTGTAATCCAAATAAAACATAAAATACCAACCATAAAGGGAATATATACGAATAACGTAACATCAAATGAGACGAGTATATGTCCTTAAATAACGAAATGCATGATTTTATTTAATATAGTATTTGCTATGTAATAGAAAGAGCTACGAAACACGAGGCTATCTGATTTGTACGAGGGGCGTAGCCCCCGAGTATAAATCAGATTGCCGAGTGTTTTGGTGTTCTTTCTCTTTTGTATCATAGTCAAACATAAAAACACGTTCCCTGTTGTCACAATTTTAAACCCCGGGAAAAAGTAACCAATGATCCAGCATCTGAAAATGATATTTCTGCCGCTTTCCCTTTCTCTGCCGACACAATATGTAAACCCCAGTAAAAATGAGCCAATCAACGGGCATGATCTGGAGTGCGTGTAACTGATACCTGCACTCCAGTTACCGCACTGTGCATGTATATGTATACGATTTAACTCGGACACTTTTTCAACAGAAAGGTCCCCAAACTATGATACAATTGTAGTTAAACATATAGGTATCATGTAAACTAAAGTACATCATCCGTGTAATTTAAATAAAAACCAATATGATAATATATCACAATGTATTTAGATAAAAAAAATCCTTTCTACCCTACCCTACCAAAACTTATCCTGCCATACCCTTTCTTGCTTGCATGGCTCACAGGAAGAGAAACGAATATATTTAAGACTGGCCTTTCCCGTTTGTTTATTTATTTATTTATTTATTTATTTTGTTATTTATTTATTTATTTATTTGTTACCGTTAGATAAACGGACGGTATATACCTATTTCATCAAAAAGTTTGCATTCAAAATAATAAGAAGGAAAATTTCCCATCAGAAAGGTATTATTGTAAGTATAAAAAAGTTTTGATAGGAAAGTTATCAGACAATGCTTCATGGTTTATGAAGAAATTACCAGCCGTTTCGGTTAATATGAAAAAGGTTCTTTGTAGAGAAGTTAAACATAACAAGGCGGTAAAAAAGTAATCTATATTTCTCAAGTTTTGAATCGCAGTTGAATTTATTTCCAATTTTTTTTTTAAACAAAACTTGTATATAATATTATTTTGAAACAAAACCCTTCATCGTTCTTGCTTAAGCTGTTTTCGGACACATATTTCAGATAGTAGAAACCATTATTTTACATACCTACGACCATTTAGATAAGGAGGCGAGATAAGCTAATAATGAACATATTCTTGTCCGGTTTAACAAGTTTAATAATATTTCAATTATTAACCTGTATGCTGGAATATTTCACGAATGTTCATAAATTCTGGGTCAGCATTATCATTGTTATCGGCAATTTGTTGTCATTTTACCGCATAAATCAATGGGAAAAATTGCGATGGAGAAAACTTGGCAATGGGCACGGAAAACCATTGCCGCGTACTGGACATGAACCAGCCTACCAGCTGTGCGAAGCCCTGACGGACTTCATACCGGGATAATCGTGTGCGTGTCAGGTTACAGGAATAAAATATACGGAAAATAAGTACGTTTGAAAAGATAAAAACAAAATCTGATAAAGAAAATTCTTGTTAAAATATTTGATAAATCATTCTTATCATAAACCTGTGTAATCGGAACATATCATATCATATACTTAAAATACATTCCAATGATATTACAACAAGTAATAGGGTATAAGTGCTTGATTTATTTTCATAGAAATTACAGTTTGATACATATATCTGTAGAACAGACGGAAAAGTAATAACAGTGATTTTTGTGTGTAGTGCTGTTTGTTGTATAGCGAAAGTTGGCCGTGTTTCATAGCGAAACGTTTCTTCCAATAGGAGCACGGAGAGATAGGACTATACAATATCAAAGAACATTTGTGAGATTCAATATTCACTCGTTAATCAATGGATATTCTTTATATAAAGCTATCGAAACCGCAATGTAAACATGTTCGTTTCAATACAGTTAATGTGATTGCAAAATATGATCGTAAGATAAACTGTGAGGTAGTTAGTTTCGGTTATAACGTTGTGCAAAACACTGAAAAAGTAAAACGGTAAAAATGGCGCTTACGGTATTAGCACACCTGTGTATTTTCGGCGCTGTGTTACTGGCAATGGAGTGTTATGCGAATGACGATGCTAAACGATTATATCATGATCTTTTAATTCAGAATAAATACAACAAACTAATACGACCAGTCGGTAATAACACAGACCGCCCACTGACTGTGAAAATGGGAATCCGACTTTCACAGATAATTGACGTGGTAAGTGTATCTTATATTTCATATTGACATTGATTTGTTCTTATTTTATTCATTTTACACAAAACAATATACAGGACTTCAAGCTGTTACCGCATTTAATAAACACGAGCAGAACATGTTCGATCGGTATATTGTGGACAGATGGTATATATTTCTTTGATACAATGATATTGGATAGGTAATTTATACCAATGTTGTATTGGATAGGTCTAGTAATACCAGAAGATAATGTTACCGGTGTTTACATATCAGGCAATTATACGTGGTTTTCCATGACTTCACATTAATCATAGTATTTGTCTATATCATTCCAATCTTTATACTTAATAACATATGTTGAGTTAATAAGTTTTAAGGTTCGTTTGTTATAAAAACACTTTGGAACAGACTAATAAAAGCGTAACCTTTTTTATTAAGGAAATTGTAGGTCGTTCCCTTTAAATGTGTTAAAGATATACTATGCACATCTTTGAGTAAAAAATTTTATCGCAGAAATTTATTGAAAAATATGCAATTCTCACCGAATATGTCTAATTTAAAGGAAAGAATGTACAAACTTTGCGAAGCTGCATTCCCTATTACTGGTCAAGTACATTTGGTTAAATATTAACACGTCATATTAATATTGTGTCCGCTTTAAGTGTGATAGCATAATTATCAACTTTGTGTGAAGTCAAAACATGGTTTATAATATCTACAAAGAGACTGTATATCAATTATCAATATTGTCAAATTTAAGCAAAGTATATTTAGAGCAATACCCATCTGAACCAAGTATTTAACGAATATAGCGTATAGTCATGTTAAATCGATTTTATTTGGTCTTTAAAATTGCCTTAACAATGTAAATAATAAACCAATTAAAGTGTTTCTTACTGAATAATTAGAATAATAAGAACGGAACCCCCTTATACATTTCTTTATCAATACCTTTATGTTTTCACTTGAAAATCGAATAAATCGGTGGCAATTTATCGTTGAGATTATTGGTTGTCTGAGTTATGTAGTGGATTTATATTAAATTGATAGTGCTTCAAATCCGAATACAAAAATTGAAAACAAAAAACGGTAATGATATTGCACAGTTAGTTCAACTGGTCAAGCGTTGGACTGTGAATCAGGCGACCGGGTTCGATTTCCGGACAATGCAGGCTATTTTCCTTGGGACTGATCATGAAATCCTTTCTACGGCCGTACGCACTCGTCTGCATCCCTGTCCTGGCATGTAAAGAACTTCATGGAAAGTGAAGGCATTTAGTACTGGTAAACCGTTTAACAGCCTGTCAAAAAACGATTCGTTGACGGTGTATTGTATTCAAAGTGGCTAACTGCCGTGATCCAGATGGTAAACTACAAAAATCACCACTGATGATAAGTTAACAAGCATTCTGAAGATTCCCCATTGACTATCCCAAAAGCATTGCTTAACTTCAATGTTCTGAATTATTAATATAAGCTACAATTTAACAATTTAATATCTACCTATGTACAAGTATATCATTTAGTAACATTTTCAGGATGTTTAATTGATTTTAATTAATTTTTGTTCACTTCACAATATTTACTTTTAGATACAATTTTATTTTTTTGTGAAAATGAGCAGGAATCCAAAGGCATGCTGCATTAAGGTAAAATTATTTTATACCACTTATATTGTTTTGTATCTGGACATTTATTAAGACATTTTTTATACATGACATATCGGTTAACATATTTGCATAATTATTTTAATAATAACAAAATATAACCATTTCTATAATGGCACAGATATTAAAAAAAACTATATTTATGAAGATATTTTGATTTTGAATAAAAAGTATTATGCTATAACTTTCAATGAATACTCTTGATTTTATAATTAATATTTGATAATTGCTGATAGCTTGAAGTTTAATTAATCAATTATAATTTAATAATATTTTCCGATACGATTTCATCTATTTGTGAAGGGCATGAATATATATGCATGTATTTGCAAATAAATAAAGATGTTCTGTTCTGTAACAGCGTTTTTGTTGTAACGTACTACTAACAATGACATCACTGTTAAAAACAAATAGTCAGTTCTATAGTCCAAACAGACTAGTTTATTTTTTAAATAAATAGTCATTAATAACTGCAGCGGCTCATTTATGTTCGATACTTGCTAAAATAGAACATATCCATGTCAGTCAAAAAGCAACTAGCATGGATGGAAAGTCAATTATAGAATCCATAAATGTATTGAACTTTGTGAAATGTGTCAAGCTAAATATTGTATTATCATTCGAATAGTTATATATAAGAGAATTTATGACATTAAAGAACTGACCACTTTGTTGTATCATACACCATCAGGACTTCTTAATATAACGATTATACCGTATCAAATTTAAGGAAACACAACCGAGGTCTAAAAGCCAAGGAACACAAAAATTTGAATTTTCAAACTTAGCGAATGATCTAAAAAATTGCACACAAGTTATTGGTCCAGACCTGCACGAAAATAGTTCATAAATTTTTGTATAATTCTCAAAAAACATTTTCCAGTGTTGACATGTCAAAGAACCCCTCAGTGTAGACGTACTTTTAAACATATGGGGATATGAAATTCTGAGATGCAATTAACATAACAACCTAAGACGGGAGATTCTTAATGTGAACATTCTCAGAATAAACCAGAATCATTGGACATACTTGTCTTTCATTTTTATTATCACATCAAGGAATAATGATAATTTGTCCAAACAAGCACTGTCACTTATAAATACAAATTTTCTCTAACGATGTCTAGCAAAACAACAGACACGTTCTTAGTGATGTTTGAAATTAATAGGGTTCTTCGCCATCTTACATGCACATTTTCCTTTTGAAAGTATTGTCAAAACACATCTTAAATGTGTACTTGATAGCAGATGCTGACAAACACACGTAAACTTGGAAATCCCCATCATTCCTAGTGGCTGGAAAAGTATATGATATGAAGTATCATAATTCACACGTGTCTGTGAGTCTGGCCTTCTTTGTTTTTTACAGGTTACACGTTAACATCTAACAAAAGATGTACTATATATTTCAAGTAATCGCTTTGCATAAAAAGAATTGGAAGTACATGTATAACCAATTTCCAACAAACGTTTTCTCGTTTTAACACTAAGACACTTGTTAAATTTAAAGCCGTCATGGTGTACATTTATTTTACTGTTTTATTTCTTTTAAAGATTACACGTTACCATCTAACAAAAGATGAACTACGTAATTAAAATATCGGCTTTACATACAAAGGCTTGGAGAAATATACCAAATTCTTTACAAAGGTTTCCCGGGTTAACACCCAGGCACAATATTTAGAGCAGCCACGTTGCACTTAAATGTTTATTGTTTCAATTTTTATAGGTTACACGTTAACATCTAACATTAGATGAACTATGTCATTAAAATAACAGCTTGACATAACAAAACTTGGAGATGTATACCCAAATCTATATAAGGTTTTCCCGATTTAACATTTAGACAGTAGTTAATTTCTAAAGCCGTCACGTTGCACTCTAAAGTAAGATTATGCGCAATTTTCTGCTTATAATCACATTTCAGAGACATTGATTGGTGTTCGTGAGTAAAACTTACCTAAAATGATTGCCTACGCTAGATCAAGATGGAGTGAGTCCAGACTGACATAAAGTTACCATTTGTCATAATAATATCGGAATAAAATGGCGGTAATTACCAGCATTGCATGTTTCGTGAATAATAACAGAGCGACAGATGACGTTTAGTACAAGTTCTTATTTAATGATAGACTTTTACTTATGTTATTGTTCCGTCAAAATTGCTCCTTTATAAAGTCATGGATTGAGTTGGAAGCTAAAAAGGTTTTTTTTAAACCTCTTTCATATTTTGTTAAGATATGAACGGTTTTTGCTAAAGATATTATTGAAACGTGATTTTACAGATGTATCGGAATTTAAAATTCTACTTTTTAATATAAGATAGAATTAAGACAAGTAAATGTTTCGTTTCAACTTCGACGAGTTATTAAAACACAGATTAAGGTGATTGAATCAATTTAGAGACAATGAATAGAGTAATTACCCACATACATTATTTTTTGCAGACAAAACTGCTTACTTATAATTTCTGTTCTATTTTTTTATTTTACCACATGCTATATATTCACTATCAATGTAACTATCACTTCCTACAAAGACAATTTTGTCTAAACGGTACTTGGAAAAGGCCAGTAAAAGGTGAATATGAATTACCATCCGATATCAAAGGCGTTAACAACTAAACATGAAATAGTTTAAACGTATATTACAATTGTGGTTCAAGTTAGAATACTTTAAGTGAATTACGCTGGAACTGGTTCCATTTTTCGCATTATAATTGATCTTTGTTATGTTATTATACAATACCTAGGTAATGACAAACAAATGCAATAATAATAACAAAAATGCAATGTTGAGCATAAATGCAATGACAATGCAATTACATTGCTCTTACAGAAAATAATTTCCCTATGTATATCAATGTGTTCCTTCCGGTGCCGAATGAATAGTATTCACAATAATGAATTGATGAATCTTTCATAACAGTATTATTCGGACAGGTCGCTTCAATAAACAACACAAGACTTTGACAGAAAGTGACATATAACGCATACTTATTCTCCATACTTACTCTCTAGTCTCTATTATTGTGGTCATTTTAATAATATTTACATCAATCAAAAATTTACAAGACATTTACATCTCATAACTGATTCAAAGTTCTTACCCATTGTATATTAATTGTTATGTACATTAATGATTTTCCAACAGATATGACATAAGGAATATCTAACATACTCGATAAAATCTAGTTTGTAAATTTAGCTTCTTTTTTTGTGTTTGATCTCGCGGAAATACCTTTCTTTGCTAGAATTGCTGAATGGGAAAATTTATCGCTAGTTTTAAAAGTACTTATACAAAAACTAACAAAATTGTAAATGTAGTATTTTACACTAATAAAAACAGAATGAAACGTCACGGCGCACCAACAACGTAAAGGTAATTAAGCAACTTTCTAGTTTAACTGGTGGAGGAAGACCTTAAAGTGCCTCTCAGGGCATTATTACAGACACATATTGAGCTAATGACATTCTGTAAGCTAGCTTGATAGCTTCCTGACCTGAAAGAATCATAAGTAACTGGCAGGATTTGGACCCACAGTGATGAGGGACTAGCGGTTTGAATTCAACGACGCTAACAACTCAGCTACCGACAAAATCTGACAGATGTGTATATGGTGCACACCATTCGTGTTTTTCGTTTTATGTTTTATGTTGTTGTTTGTTGTTGTTTTATCATACGTGTTGACTATGGTGCAACCAATGTATATTCAACTTTAAAAAAAAGTTACACTGAGATGTCAACATTTCAATTGCCTTGTAAATCTGGCTTGTACCCCTATTGAAAGTATTTTATATATATTTTTCTATATATTATATGGCTTAACGATAACGTTCCAATATACATACCCAGAGTTAAAGCCCCTGAGACCACCAATATGGCCTCCATTTGTCATTATGATCTTTCGATAAAATCACAGTTATCAGTCAGACATTGCATGTAACATAAATAACAAGAGAGTAACAAATGACTTTTTAGACATTTATATTCAATTACAGTCTTATCCAAAAGACGTCATGTTAATAAACTGTTGCCCCTAATCGCTCATTTTCTTGTAACAAATTTTATAGTTCAATAGATGATAAACGTCCGTGGATATATCGTGATGATAAAGTATGAACATACACGGAAAACGGAGTCAACATAAGAATATGTTTGAAATTCGCTTCCCTTTTATTTTAAAATTAAGCATTATCTTTTTACATTTCTACCCACTTATAGCTAGAATATTCGAGCAATAGTGAGACTATGAGTTACGAATATATATAGGGCGAGAGGTATTAGAAAATAACAAAATGTCATATATAACTACATTGAATATGCATAGTTACTTACCATGCCATAATCCTTTATGTACAAAATAAGATTGATATATCTATTTAAGTTATTTTAATTATTTTTTTATTTCGATTTATTTTCAGGATGAGTTAAATCAAGTAATGACGACAAATGTATGGATTAGACAGGTAATTACCTATTTCCCTATGAAAACTTTGATTCATTGATTTAATAAAACATTTTGATTATCTTTTAATTTTATTGTATTTTAAAGTTAAACCTATCTTTAAATGTGAAACCAATACTTACTTCTCAGAGATGTTTTAAAAAGAGGTTTCCTCTTTTTAAACATTTCTGAGAAGTAAGTATTGGAGACGATTGAAAATATCCAAAGTATTAAATTCACTTTAACGATAAAGCAACTGACTAAGTTTGCGAGTTTCGCAACGACATGAATGCTTGCAAATGTGACCTTGACCAACCTTTTATATTAAAATATGTGATTGTTTTTATATATATATATTTTACCAAAATTTGTGAATTTCTGTTAGGATTTAAGCAGACCAAGATATATATAATTGATCTATAATTTAGAAGAAATGTTTTAAATTACATGTTTTGAATTGAAATAACTTGTTTTCTGATCGGCCAAAAATTAATTTCAAAATAAGATAGGAAGAACAATTATCATTAAATATCATTACGTATCATTAGTTTAAACGTTTTATATAGTTTTATACCATTATATGCACACGAGATATATAGAGACACCGTTATTTCCTGAAACTCATTCCGAATATTGCAATAAAAGTCAAGTGTCTTTAAATAAACCCAGTCAGTGTTATCAGAGGACATATTGCCAATGTAAAAGTCTTTATTGCTTGCTACGGATGTAAGAGGCAAAAAGACATTGGTGTAATTCGTTGGGGCTTTGTGCACTAACAGCACATTAAATTCAAACTTTAAATTTCTGGGAATAAAAGAAGTCATTTTATCTTATTTATTGATGTTGCGAAGAATGACGATTTTAATTGAAGTTCTATTAGATAATATTTGCATGTTTTGCTGTTTTTGTGCAGTCGAATAAAAACAGATATTTTTATTTAATCTAAAAAGATTCTTTTAAGTTGATGAATAATTTTCTTAATTAACAAAACCGAAATGTTGTTTAGACTTTCAAATTTCCGTAAAAATGTATTGATAGATGAAAATTTTAATTAACTGAAAATATGATTATAGATACATTAACATGCAAATGTTCCGTTTTCAATGGTACATTAATTTAAAAAAAAAACTGAATTTTAATTGTTGGTTTCATATGGTTTCATATTACAAATATTGATTTTAAATCAATTCAGTTTTAATTCATTTCCTAACAGTATAATTTCTTTTATATAAAAATGTTTTAATAATAGATTCAGCGCCTCTTCAAAGTCAATGCAGTAGCTACAAAAAAATATCATAAACCTAATTAGCATTGAACTGTTTATAAATAAATTACCGGGCTAAAAAAAGATGGCATTTACTTTTTGTAAAATTTCCGTTCCTTTTATTTGTCTTGTTTTGGTTTTCTTTAATTTAAACGACATTCACATAATTGAAATATGAAATGTGACATGTTATGTCACAGATATCGTGTGATTTATTGAAAATATTGATCAAAATTTGAATGCCAAACAAACCTTATAAAGACAGACTATTAAATTTAGTGAAATAGCACATGATAGTTCGTCCTTTTTATCGGTATAATAAACTACATGGAATATGGCAGACAATGAATCAAACAAATCCTATTTATGATTAAGTAGTTGTTATTCCCGGCTATGATCGAAAAGATGGATTGTAATCAGAATGCGTTATGCATATAAAATAGTTCGCTTGCGTGAGTTTGATTTCCGAGCAATGCAAATTTTCTTTGATATAAAATAATTGCGTTAACCAATCAAGCATACGGTCTATAGCTTCCTATGATGACTGTATATAATGTAATATCTGGTTTTATTATTGTATCATTGACGGCGCATAAATACAATAAAAACTTTCACATTTCAACTACTTTACCAGGCTAGAAATTTTAAGATTTCTATTCGGTTTGGGAGCAAACTATGACGACAGATTATTCTGATTAATATCAGTTTCTTGCATGAAGTCATCGTTTTAATCAAGATTTGTAATATTTAAACATTGACTACTTCTATCAGCACGTTCATAGAACCAACCGACGGCAACATCCCGACGATACCAGTCGGCCAAATGCAAACAGGCTTGGTTGGTACCTCCATGTGCTATGTTAATCTGGAAAATGTAACTTAAGGGCTAAAAAGCTTGTGAATCGTTCACTTTATCATTAGATATTTTATGTAGTTATCTTTTAACGTATTTGCTTCTTACATAACTGTATGATTTATACATTTGGTATGTTATAAACAGTTTAAGGGCCAGTTATTTTAACAATATAATGTGTTATTTATAACAGATTTACCAGACTATTTTCCATTTTTGTTTCCTGTCTGCTCATATGAATATTTATGCTCAATGATTCTGCAAGTTATCATTGTATATATCAAACTGGCAAATTAATTTGTTTATGATCAAAATACAGACGCGTAAAAATTAATCTTCTATATACCACAATCTATGATGCTTGCCTTTGAAGTAAATGCTTATTTTTCATCTTCTGTCTGCCTTCATTTGGAAGGGTATGCACGTTAACAGCTTTTGCATAAATGTATTAAAATAATAACTTACCTTTTCTAAATACACGATTTATATCGTATATCAATATCGGAAGTTTGTATGAAAATACGGGCTTGCTTGGATTTAGCTTCTAGTCTTCATTTTTAATTGGGTTTAAAACGAAACATTTTTTTTAAATTCGTCAGTGCTTGTTCTCATAAACTAAACCTTTGCCTGTCATATTATCTTATTTCAAATATTTAATATGTGTGTCATGCATATTACAGTATTCACTAAAAATAAATTAAATCCATATACTTTTAAGACAATCTTATTCTTGAAACATTATTCTAATAAGAAAAGATAAAACCTATTTAATTTTGAAAAACGCATTAAGATTATTTATCAATAATTGAAATTAAAATTAATAACAAGTTTAAAGAAAGTAATGTACATGTGTATCTAGCGCCTGTTAATTTTCTTTGCAAATTTTTTAAGAATCAAATGAACGTGTTTAAGCTTAATTCATTTCATTTACGATGACCATCTTATAAATAAAATGATTGGTCAATTTTAAAAGTACTGATAAACTGAGGAGAAGATATACCAAACAGGAGCTATATAGATAAATACAAGCCCATCTGTACTTGTTCAATTCAAGACATTTTATCCACAATGAATGTTGATGCTGATGTTTTGCAAACAAGATAGAGTCATTTTGATTGATGATTGTTTGAAAGGATGAAATGACTGATACTTGATGGACGGACAGTGTTTACTCATGCCTGGCGTTCTAGCAAGCGTCATGACCCCGTATGACACCAATATCATCGAAAGTATTAGTAATATTGCATGTTTCTTCTTCGCTGAAATACAAAAATATTGATAACCGGTAAATAAATATTAATTATGTACAATCATAGTAAGGTAAAAACTTGAAAAAAGGAGAGAACCGTAAACATATGTAAAGGGCAAACTATGTCCCAGCTTGTATTTTCATGGTGAAAAAAAATTAAGTCATGACCGTGTATTCTCAAATAGATAAGTCATATATCAAATAAAACAATTTCTTGTTCCTTTTATGTATGCAATGCATACCAGAAAGAAGTAATTGAAGTTTGATGTCTCTATCAAATGACTGATCTGATTCAATGATACACTGTATAAACATCAATTTATTTCCGTGCTTTTCGATTTCCTAAATGCAAATTACGTTGATACTTTGTAATTTTGGGAAAACTTACGAGAACTGAGTCTGGGTTTTCTAGTAACATTTCCATTTTCCATACGAATTTTCACCGTTTAATTTTTTGAATAAACGATGCGATTCCACATTTGCGGAAAAAAATGCAATGGTTGCAATTGCAATTAAATTACAAGTTCGTTTTAAGTTTTTTATATGAAACATCTACATGATACTGCTTAACAATCAATTCTGATTATGACTAGCAGGCGGCAATTGGAAAAAGAAACTATTGAAATGTTTCCTGCTTTATCGCACCTGTCGCACAGCGGTAAGGATACTTGATTAGATTATATGCAAACAAAAATGTCCCTTAAATTTTAGCAAAAAAAAGCACTGGGTTTATTTTGTATTTTGTTTGGTATATCTGTCCAAATTGTTCAAAACAGTCGATTACACAAAACGTCAGCGGAGAAATGGTTAATTACACAATGTTGATCTTAATTCTGATGTAGTGTAAACAAAAGTAAAGTATATTATCTCTTACGATATGCAACACAAATCTTTGCCATTGCCTTCTGGGCTGTTTCAGAAAACAAGCCGATATCAACTAGAGCAAATGTATTTATAAATATGATTGATATGTGGTCAATGCCACGTGAAATATGATTGATATGTTATAAAATGTTTGTTGATTTGGCTTCTACTAACCTTTAGACATGATATGTAACTTACCATTTTTGTCTAATTGACTTAAAACATCTATGATTTGATGCTACTTCATCTAACGAATACTTATTACCAAAATAATACTTTTGCAATAAAACCATATAAAAAGAGAAAAAAAAACTAAATAAAAAATTAAAACCGAAATAACTTTAGACAAAGATGAGTCACCATTCAATAATAAAGGGTGTTTTGACCGCATTTCCGTCGTTAAGTTGAAACAGTACTGAATAATGCTCTGGCTAACTTAAGGTTCACTAGCTGACGATATGTATATTTTAGTTTAAAACATTTATATCATGTAATCGAAGTACATTCAGATGTTGTGCTAACTAAAAAATCCATTGACAAAGTCCTAAGACAGTCTATTTTTATATTGTTTAAATGGTGGCATATATAAAACTTTGAAGGTCAACAATTTCGTGTTATGCTTGTGTAACTATATCCAATGCCCTGTATTAAATATAATATGAGCCGTGTCATGACAAAACCAACATAATGGGTTTGCGACCAGCATGGATCCAGACCAGCCTGCGCGTTCGCGCAGTCTGATCAGGATCCATGCTGTTCGCTTACAAACTCTATTACAAGTAGAGAAACTGATAGCTAACAGCTTGATCCTGATCAGACTTTGCGGACGCGCAGGCTGGTCTGGATCCATGCTGGTCGCAAACGCATTTCGTTGGTTTTGTCATGACGCGGCTCATATGTCGTTTGCTGATCGTTTTGTTTTTTTCTTGCTTACGAAGGAATGGTACGACTATAACTTAAGATGGGACCCTCATAAATATGGCGGTGTGGACAGGCTGTATATTCCTTCCAAACTGATTTGGTTGCCCGATATTGTTTTGTACAATAAGTATGTTGTTTATCTAGCAAAGGCATGAACGTGCTGCTGTAGTAAAGTGTGTTGCAAAAGCCTATGTGCATTTTTCGATGGTCTGGATCACGTTTCCTTTTTTTATTCATCATTCGTATTGGTGCAGTATTTGATGTAGTCGACAAATACTTAGAAAATTGATGTATTTTCTAGTGCTAGCATGTGTTTTTGTTCACCTCTATGACGTAATAAGTCTTAAATTATTGTTATAAGAATGTGGCAATTTGTTGTAATTGTGGTCAATGTGAGCATGGATGTTAAATATATTAAGTAAATGTACCGCAAATCAAATGCATGAAACTGTTTTATCTATACATAATGTAGATGAGACATTCTTGCTCCTTGTGGCATGCTCCGCGTAGGTTTTTTTTCTAAACGCAGTAGGCAGCTTGGTATTATAGAAGAACTGTTTGTATCTACCAGGAATGGATTGACGTGAGTTTAAGATGGGATCCGAAAGAATATGGAGGTATCAAAACACTTGAGCTACCATCAGAAAATATATGGTTGCCAGACATCGTGCTGTTCAATAAGTAAGTTTACTTTTATTTTGTTCTTTTACCATGACCATTTTATCAACAATGCCATTTTCACAAAGTAATATCATTATATTGAGAAAAACTGTTTTTTGTAAAGCTAAGCTGATTTTATAACCACATTATGTTATAATTTTACAGACATTTACACATGAAGTCAAATTTAGCTTTAATTAACGGCTTCAACAAATAATTTATTTATCATTAAACAAAACAAACATATTTAAGAACATATCATTTTCTTTTCACGAGTAAAAACTTGCAAAATTGTAATAAATTGCAACATGTCTTTGTATTCTTTCAGGTAGCAATTTTACTCTTTTTCAGTATTGTATTTACTAGGTTATTCTACACAATGCTATTTGTATCTTTCAATTTTCAATAATCATCACAAGCCCCCGGCAACACCGGGTGGTTACTATCCCTTAGGATCACGGGTCACGTGACTCCTCGTGTATTGGGATAGGGTGAGAGCAATTGTAGAGAACACACTGCAGTCACAACAGCTTCACATTTACCCCTTTAATGCATTTTGGTGTGATTAAGAAATGCTTTTATATTTTGTTTCTGTAATTTATTTGTTTGAATTGTACAAAAACCTCAACTTAAAGAATGGAGTATTACAAATGAAGATAGACAACATTTGTGGATAAACTGTTTTATACCAATCACGCATGGTGTTGCTCTTTTTATTTTCATTTCTTTCGGTTGTGGTTCAGTATGTATACAGGTTATAGTAAATAGAAAGATCTCTTTCAGTGCCGATGGTCAGTACGAAGTTACTTTGATGACAAAAGCAACATTAAACTATAGCGGTGGTGTTGTGTGGGAGCCCCCCGCAATCTACAAAAGTTCATGCACGATTGAAGTCGAATTTTTCCCGTTTGATATTCAGCTTTGCTCGATGAAATTTGCTTCTTGGACATATGATGGCACGCAGGTGGACCTTATACATGAGTGTTCTAAACACAAACACAAGAAGGAAGTTATTCAAAATGGCATCGATTTGCGGGGCTTCTACGAATCCGGGGAATGGGACGTTCTAGAAGTAACTGCGGAAAAGAGCTTGAACTACACAGATGCCCCTGACATAACATTCAACGTAACAATTCGGCGAAAGACATTATTTCATACCGTAAATTTAATTATTCCTTCTGTTGCAATTTCTTGCTTGACAATCCTGGTATTTTATCTCCCCTCTGACAGCTGTGAGAAGATTACCTTGTGTATCTCTATTCTGCTCTCACTTAACTTCTTTTTTCTGCTCCTCGCCGAGATAATTCCACCCACGTCTATAGTTGTCCCGCTAATTGGCAAGTACCTGCTCTTTACTATGATACTGATTACCTTGTCAATCATAGTGACGGTTATAACATTAAATGTGCACTTCCGGTCTCCATCAACGCATACTATGGCACCATGGGTACGGCGGGTGTTTTTAAACATTTTGCCTAAAATGCTCTTGATGAGGAGACCGAATCTTGAGCACGAGAAAATTGCGAGAACAATTGTAAGGACATGTAATGGTATAGAAATGAGAGACCAGTATGTGAATAGACATGATTTAGAGTTCGACACAAGCAGACGACTTAGGCAGGGACCAGCTGAGGATGGTACTACAGTAGAACAGCAACTTCCACCAGATGTACAAGAGGCAATAGACAGTATAGTATTCATCGCAGAACATCTAAAGAAGGGTGATTATTCAGCATCGGTATGTTGTATTATTGCGTGTATGTATGAATTCTCCTTATAAGTACCGCAGTATGTATTATTTATGTGAATCGAAATTGTGATAATATCTTAAAAGCTGCATTCCGAATGGAGAGATTAAATTTATGTTTTAAAATTTACGGATGTTCTGCTATCATTTATAGGCAAGAAATGTTATCTTAAGATGAACCTTTCTTGCATGTCACAAATAAATCGTATTATATTTCTTTATAGTTTGACCATTAACGAAGTTATCTCAAGAGATAAGTAAATATCTACACAAATTTATTTATATTTATAGAAATATTTATATATCAAAATTATTTCCATATATGTCCATGTATAAAGAAATGATATGTTACAGATAAGTGAAGATTGGAAGTATGTAGCTATGGTGTTAGATCGACTGTTTCTGTGGATATTTACAGTAGCTTGCGTTGTTGGAACTTTTGGTATTATACTTCAAGCACCCACACTATATGACAATCGAAATGTCATCACCCCTGTGACAAGTTACCCGGTATATAAGGATGATACATTTATGTATTTTATACTAATATTATCTATACCTTGCTGTCTTGAACTTGTTGCATTTCACGTTCTTTGCACGCATAATAATGACTGTTGTACCTTCAATACAAACATTCGTTTAAAATATTAGTAAAACGGAAGAAAGTGAAATTTTAAAATGATTTTTAGAAATAATTTAGTCCGATAGAGCTTCTATATCTACCAGAGAATAACGCAATCATGCAATGTTTGATTATCATACAAGTATCGGACCCTCTGAGGGTGCTAGAATTGTTAATCCGAGAAAGAAAATTTGAACCGAGGCGTGAACCGAGGTCGAAATTAGCTTACAAATGTTAACATTATGTACTATCACCGTTAGAGGGATCTGATATATGTTTTTTTATACCGCATCTAACCTAGCAAAAAAGGTAAAAAAAAATATTCTTGCTTAGCTTCAAGTATAATCGAATCAACCTCAAAAATTATTTATTTTCTGTACATTTTTAATTTCCCATAAGTCTATTTTATATGTGTGCCAAGGTTATTTTATTATCTCTGTCTATTTTTTCGGCAAATAAATAATGTAAATTAACTACGAAAATTTTTAAAAGGAGACAGACAAAACCACGTAAAAATAATAATAATTAATAATAATAATAATAATAATAATAATAACAATAATAATGATAAAAGTTCTATGAAGTATTCCTTTAACAGAATATACACAATAAAGACTCCGTTCAATTGAATGTTTTGAAGATAGTTTTAATAGCGTATTACCTATGTCCCTTGAATAAGAGCGTGACGATGTGAATGATTGGCACCGAATGAAACCAGGCAACATGAGATATTCTTTGAAACCAACACATCTCTGTAATGATTTCTTTTCATAAACCATCACAAAATAATCCAACTATAGAACAATGATAATGTCCAATTCATATTACATCTTATCAGGGACAGAAATTCACCCCTTGTCCGAATAAAAGAATCTTATTAGCGCTTGGAAAACATTTCTACGGACTGCTAATGTAATTGTCTATGTCATATCCTTTTGATTGACAATTATCTACAGAAATACAGGGTCATAAAATGCCACTTGCTATTATCCCGAAACTCGTGCTGAAGGGAGATTCGGTTATTTTAGACTTTTGTTCCAGGATATATGATATTAAAGTATTTTATTTCACTAATTTGAGAAATATTTTTGTTTGAATCAAATTGTAAATTTAAGATTTTAAGTCAAAGGAACAAAAATATAATCTGATTTCTTTCCTTCAGGTTTTATAGAGAAAGTGTAACAATTTAATAGAAAGTATTGACTTTACGAAATTTATGCTTGGATTTACAGGAAAGATTGGCATTGACATTTTGATTAAACAAATTTGGTTTCTGACATTAGCAATTCATTACTTTTGCAAATGATATTAACGTTTCTACGATGTTTTCGTCTACTTTATTTACTGTTTGTTTTCTCTTTGCACTCCGAAGATAAATTACATGCTTTATACAACATACTTTTCTACTTAAGTTTTACTGAACTGTCTAACGCGAAAACACCATTATGTTTGTATGAAATTTGTGTTTGGTCTAGAGAGACCTGCATTTCCGAAGTTTCCTTTCACTTTTTGTTGTAAGGACATAAAATTGTTAGGACATATTATAGTGACCGTTGAAATAAAATGTATGTTTTTTTCGTCTAAGAATTCGAACCCTAATGTAGGTTGTTTGACAAAACTGAAAAAAAAATCTACATTATATTTGATTGTTTCAGCATACTATGGTCAAATGCAATAGATTTGTGACATTCCTGGTTTTCATTCGACATCGAAAATAAATTGATGCCTGAAACCTGTGTCAACAAAATGCCGTATTCAATTCAAACAAAATAATCATGAGGATTTCCCATGATTAGCAATTTTTATTTCGGCACGAACTCATTTAATGTGAAGACCAAAGCCCATACACTGTTTAAGTATTATTGATCAGTCTATATAGGTCTAAAATTGCTGAACAAATAAAGGAATGCATTTTCTAATAGAATCAACATATTACATCTGAATAGTTCCATGTCAGATATATTTCATCTGCTGATAACATAATTTATATTGTAATTAAAACATTGTTGCATTTAAACTATTTTTACATTTCAGCTACATTTATTGCATACCGCTCTTTTCAGTTTACTTGTTCACATCAGATGTGATAAACTAAATGCACTATGACAATAAATGCCACTTATATCTAAAATGCAACGTGATTTTAAGTGAAGACTTTAAGTCAACATTTGCACAAGTAATGGTGCCTGAGTCTAAAGCCGATCATGCTGCTTGTTTAATTTGATCATATTTTGTATACGCACCCATTAACTATCTTGACTTAAATATATCATTTCTTACGAAATCGTAACATTTCTAAACGTTCATGGAACTGTGGTATAGAATAGACGTTTTATGCTTGAAATGTTTTATTATATATAACTTACTTACAGATATATACAGGTTCTCCTCAGAGAATATCATACTTTACTATAAATATTGCTTGTCTATTGAAGTAGAATGTAGCCCATAATCACAGTTATTACGTACATTAGATTTAGTCTCTGAAATTATCGGTTGATTTTTCTTCTTATTCTATAAAACTGACAGCTGTGGCAAGTTTGGACATAACAAGCTCATTATTTAATAAGAAGCTTTTCTTTTACTTTCTTTATATGTCTTTGATTTTTTTTTCAGAAGAAGAAATGTTTTATATATATTTACGATCAGCAAAAATAGCTTAGTAAACTAATTTTTGCATTGAATCAGAGAATGCTATATTAACGAAAAGTTTAATCAAATAAATTGACCTATGAGTGAATTATTCATGTTTAGTGTTATTGGATGATCCGCTTCAGACAAGCACTTCTTATTGAAAGCAACTACTTTAGTCATGCTTGAATGTTGTCTTAATATGTGCTTTCTATTCCAGATAGATAGATATCTTAGATCTGTTGTCTGCATGCAATTCTGTCAATAATACAGTTTACTAAATTACTTTAATTGATTTGAATTAAAGATTTCAGTTATATGTTATATAGATTATATGTTTGTATATTGTTAGCGCGTTTCAGATTTATACATACTTGCTCTTTTTTGTGCAGTGAATTGAATTTAATTTAGCGTAATCGTAAAGTTAGTGAAAATATCTAACATGATATTTTTTTGAAGATTATTGATACTTTTAAGCACTTTTGTTAGTACTATTTTAAAAAGTTAATTTATTTTTGTTATTTTAGTGCTGACGGACATTTCGAAGTTCAACTATTTACAAAAGCAACTTTATTTTATACTGGTTTAATAGTTTGGGAACCTCCTGCTGTCTACAAAAGCGCTTGTATAATGAACGTAGAGTTCTTCCCTTTTGATGTTCAAAAATGTGGACTAAAATTTGGTTCATGGACATACGATGGTTTTGAAGTTGATTTAGTACATGTATGCGCTAAGGACCAAGATTCAACTGAAGTAATAGAAAATGGAATGGACTTCAGTGAATTTTATCAAAATGTAGAATGGGATATTTTATCTGGGACAGCAAAGAAAAGTATCAAAATATACATATGCTGTATTGAACCGTATCCTGATTTAACTTTCTTCATCACAATGAGACGGAAGACATTGTTTCATACAGTGAACCTCATCCTTCCATGCGCAGTAATTTCATTTCTGACGGTTCTTGTGTTTTATTTACCGTCAGATAGTGAAGAGAAAATAACACTGTGTATATCCGTACTACTTTCTTTAACAGTGTTTTTCTTATTACTGACAGAAATCATTCCGCCAACGTCCATTGTCATTCCGTTGATAGGAAAATACTTATTGTTTACTATGATTCTTGTAACATTATCTATTATTGTGACAGTTTTAATCCTTACTATACATTTCCGGTCACCTGCAACGCATAAAATGTCAAACTGGACTCGCACTGCGTTGTTACGTATACTACCAAAAATATTATTTATGCGTCGACCAATTATGAAAAAGCACAAACGGTCCAAGTGTAATGGCGTGAGTTCTAAAATTTCCCCAATAAGAAGAAGTGGTGTCAGCTTTGTGCGAACTGGCGAGAATCACATATACGAACGTGCTTCACAAAGCTCCGATGAAGAACCAGGGACTGGTCGGCGTGACAGCATACTTCCTCAATCAATAGAACATGTCCTATCAGATGTTAAGTTTATTTCCGATCATCTGAAAGAAGAAGATGACTATTCTTCGGTATATAATTATCTAAACATATTTACTTCAGAAAACATTTGTGTTTCAACATTTAAAATTTTCTTGATATAATTGTTTCCATATTTATATGTTTAATGTGTTGTGTATTTTAAAACATAAATATATCTCCTCGTTTAAGAGTTTGCTTTCTTGCATTGTGCAGTTCTCATAAATTTCAAAAGTGTCATGTAGAAGAAATACAGCATATCGTGAGGCAGTCTTTCCTAAAGACTGCACTCTATCTTTATTGTTTATACTTAAATATCAATAGTTTTTTTAGGTAATGTCTACAAAAAGTTAAGGCCAGACAAATTTAAATGGTGCTGTGTCATTAATGATCAGTCTTTCGTTATATGCGAGTGTTTTTGACGTACATTCCAAATGACATATTGCCTCGTACTATTTTTTCACCTACCATAGCCCGAGTCTCGAATAATCAAGAATCAATGTCAGAAAAATAAAACACTTGCAAAAAAATCTGATTGATTGTAGGCGCCAATTGAAGTAGTGTATTGTTCTAAAAGAGTATGGTCTGATCAAAAGAAAGGTAAAATGGGGAATTAATGTTAATAATGTAGTAATACTTTCTCGAATTCCAAAATAGCTATTTATGTTGCTGGTTAACAATTAGCAAATGTATTTTGTTTATCATTACGATGCTTCATAAATGATAAAATATTGTTTTTGGCACTTACTAAATTCAGATTCGTCAAATATTCGTAACACATTCTAACACTTTCCTCAATGGAACAAGGTCGATTCCACGATAGTACTGAAACAATAGTAACATCAGGTTTTGGCTACACTTACTGGATACGTAAAAATAAACTTGTTATATAAACAAAGATATATTAAGAACATGATGAATTAAGTTGTTTATAAACTAAGAATTATGCTAAGTCCAATTACGATACGGAGGATTATAAATAAACGGAGATAATTATCGCCGAGTTGATACACAAATTAGATTATTTCACGCATTTATTTGTAGGTCAGCTTAGCCATCAGAGTGATTAGACACTGGAAATTATTTTGGTTGTACTTAAACTAGAAATAATATTATTATTTCTGTTTCTAGTGCAAAACATTAGAAAACTTACTAAAATATTTATCTTTAAACTCATATTTACGCTTACAATCAAGCGTGCTTACATGCTAATGTTAAATAGAATTCGGAGGCGAAGCGTAATTCAAAGTTTACCGCTAAGGGAATCCGCAGGAAAAATATGTTGAAATATTGAGTAGTGTTTTTGCTGTCCCATAAATATAGTAAAATAATGTAATATGTTGGTGAACTGCCTGGCAATATTAACCTGAGGCATTTAAATAAGTATTCAGAACCATTTTCTGTATCTGAATTGCGGGCTTTGAGTATTGCATATGATTACTTATAAGCAAATGTGTATTAATAATCCTGCCAGCCTAGATGTTAGAGTGCTTAAATACTTAATATTTGTTTGTGTCGAGGATTCAAACCTAGGTATTCGTGAATACAGGACTTATATTTCTCAAAAAGCATTGGTTTAATTAAAAATTTGGAGCATTGAAAACGATTCTTCCAGCGCTAACATAACTCATATTTAGTTGTAATAACTGACTTAACCATAAACAATTCTCAGGGTATAACGTTATAAAGGATACTAAAATAGGTTATATCGTTAACTTATTAAATCATTGCGTAATCTATGAAACTCCTGTATATGTCTTACACAGTTAAGTTCTTTTTCTAAACATTTTTAATAAAGGTTAAATAAGGTATGTTCATTAAAAGCACAATCAATTGATATGGACTATCAGTTGAAGATAATATTACAAAACATTTCTGTTTCACTGGAAATATATGAACATTACAGTTTATCATAACGTATTTTAGGTTATTGAAGACTGGAAGTTTGCTGCAATGGTTCTGGATAGAATGTTCTTCTGGGTATTCACCACCGCATCGCTCATCGGGACGTTTGGAATTTTGTTACAAGCGCCTACGATCTATGACGATAGAGAGGCATTATCAGCCGAAAATGCAAAAGGTGGCCTGTGCTAGAAAAGAAACGAAATAAAAGATTTTTCATGAGTTAGTTAAAGGGCGCTCATATACAGTTCATGTTTTATATGTGCAGTCAATGTGAAAATAGATATTTAATCCCGTAAAGTTTATACAGATAAATATATAAATACACTATGACAAATAGATACTGATAGAAATCTCCAAGAAACTTATCTTTATGATCATATAATGTTAACAATAATGAGTAGTTTATATTGATTTTCTTATTGATATTTTCTATCAAATTAGTATTACCTTAGCATTAATCAACGGATTTTGAAATGGCTTTATGTATGCCTAGCCATTTCATAAAAACTTACTTTAGTAAATTTCAGACGAATAAGTAAGATAACCTTTGAGTTCGTTCCTTTAACTTGTTTATTTCCATGGACAAATTGAGCCTTAAATCATAGCAACTTTTACGCTTTAAATTTCATTATCATGTAAATTGACATTTAAAGTATCTTATCTAAAATGATTTGACATTTAAGTAATACTTACAAAATTCGATTTTTGTCGATTTCATTTGAAATAAGAGTAATTGCCTCAGACATAAAGCGGATCATAATAATTGTAATTTGTTTTTATAGCACAGTATAGAATGATTTTTATCTTCATTTAATATTTGCTTTTTTTGGATGCAGAAATTTAGCTGATGAAATAAAATTCTTAGATTTTTGTTGAAAACAAATATGAGAGAATCGCATCTTAAATGTATCTGTAATTTATAAAGGAAAGCTTTTACTTATATTCAATTGACACGCTATCACTATTAATCATAAACTTGCTGTCATTTTTCTGACACATGTATATAAACGGTTTCTTATTTATCAGTCTGCAAACTGATTGTATGGGTCGGCTACATCCTTATAGTGGGATCATTTTACATAAATATTACTTCCCGTCTAGTGTGGGCAGTTCCTATGTATTAAATGTAGTTCATTATTTTGTTACACAGTTACTGTTTAAAATATTTCCATTATCTTTCGCATACTTGATAATATTAGCCGTGTCACGACAAAACCAACATAATGGGTTTGCGACCAGCATGGACCCAGACCAGCCTGCGCATCCGCGCAGTCTGATCAGGATCCATGCTGTTCGCTTAAAAACTATATGACAAGTAGAGAAACTGATAGCGAACAGCATGGATCCTGATCAGACTGCGCGGATGCGCAGGCTGGTCTGGATCCATGCTGGTCGCAAACGCACTATGTTGGTTTTGTCGTGACACGGCTTAATTATGTTTGTTCTGTTTGTATTATATAGTTGAAATAAAACATCTGATTTGCTTTTAACAAGAAATAGCATGTTTTAAATGATAGTAAAGAGTCCAAGTTATGTTTTTTTAAAAGAATGTATGTTCAGACGAGTCTTTAATAATCAAGCAAATGTGTTTTACCACAAGACGTTACTCTTCCCCGCCCCTCACCCACATAGCCTACCCAGACATATAATGCCTTACCCTCTAAACATTCTTCTGTAGATAATAATTTTTTTATATGAATTAAAAGCTAGCTCATATGGCATAAAATATATGTAGTAGGTGATGTTCGTATATTTTTTATCATACCATGCAATGTATAGATAATGATCATGTTGTAAGATTAAACGATTTTATTTTTTGTCATTTTCATGCGTTACTGTTTTAATGACACGAAATATTTAAGAGATCGTCACATCTAAAAGTTTTAATCACGTTGTTTGGCTATGATTCCTTTCTATACAAATATAAGTTATAAGTCGTGATCTATTTTCAGTAGCGCTAATCAATATATTTTTCTTAAATGAATATTTAGTGAACATTATAAAATATCATCTAATAATACTTCCGTTTAAGACATATTCACACATACGTTGGTTATTTATAATGAAATCAATGACAAGACTTTTAGTGATCCTTTTGGATTTTCGTCTGTAACTCTAGTTTTGTAAATTCAATTTGTTAATTGAGAGGAAACGAAGTAAATGATAACAAGAAGTTAATTAAATTTGAATAATTTGTTATCTTGATCAGGTATTTTGACTTCTAATCTTAATATGGTTTCTTATCATTTGTTAGCATTTCAAACATGATTAGCCTGAGTTCCGTAGGAAACAAAAAAATATCTATTAGTATTTAAGAAGCCATGTAAAAGTTCCTCATTATTCGAGACTTGAAAATTTAACTAGTTACTTCTTAAGATAAAACACAGATGAACTTCATTAACAAACCACGCGCCTATATTTATAGACAAATGTGACATTCGAAAAACAATTACAAACGAATGTTAGTAAATATCTGAGCTTATACTCTCTAAATTTGTTTATCTGTGGTGATATGTTTCTTCTCACAAAAAATAAATTTATTTTCCCCCATTACACCAGAGACAATCACATCACATGTATCAAATAAATAAGTACTATCCTTATCTGGGGAAAAAACGAGCATTTTTTATGCTTTTTACATAACGAAGGCGAATTGTTTGACATAATGGAAGTCATATAGAAAGCAAATGGTTTGCCATAGCTAGTGCAAATGATTTAGTTATAATTTATTTCAAATATAAAACACAAAGTAAAGTATATTTAAAAGATTCTTTATCTAAAACCAAACATACATGTCTTACTTTTCTTTCTGACTTCTAAGTATCGTTCATTGATTAAATACTAGAGTTATTATTCTATAATATAACAAATAACGTACATTTATCGATTTTTCTTTTCTTTTTACGAGCATTAAGATACTTAGTGAAATCGAAAGAGTTCTGTGAAACATATGTTTACCTGTTTATGTAAAAGATATGTGTAGAATTTCAACAGATTGCGTAAAGAAATGTTTTGTTTTATGTTGAGTGCGGAGTGAGTTAATACAACAGATGGGTAAGGAAATGGGAGAAACAAATGGTAAGATAAGACTTTTGGCAGCAGCTTACCTTTCAACGCAATTAGACCTATTATCTACAGAAAACATATGGTACTGTTATCTATATTTATAACTCGACAGGAAACATTTTATATAACAACGTTCACGTTAACCTGTACGCGAAGATTATGGTAAGATAAAGATATTATAATAATACTTAAAGTAAGGATTTTTTAAAGTTATTTTCATTTTTGTCCTCAAAAGTAAAATGCTTTTTATAACGTGTTAGGTATAAAGATTTTAAAGTTATATAACTATGTATAATTGGATGTTGCAATATAACAATTGACCGTTTACAGATGGTCATATAACCTGTCAAAGGTCTTTATAAATAAAAATATCACCATATATTTTTAAAAGATCAAATTTTAATGTAAGGAAAGAACATATCTATTCCAGAATATGTGATATCTTTGTATGTAAAGGTATGATCATAGATTTTTAATTATAATATATAACTTGTTGTAGTTATCAATAATCCATTATACATTTCTTGATTGAAGATAATATTTCATTAAATATTTTTGTCATCTTTCAATTGCGTGACTGACGCTAATATTGTTTTCTCTGTAAGTTATTCTTCTATTTTAGAGTAATTTCAGCCTGCCATATTACTCCGAATTTTGTAATGTTCTCACAGATTTCAAAATATTTAAGTATTTTCAAATTTTGTAAGAATCTGCAATTGTGCCGCTTTGATAACAGGACTGTCTTTATTAACTAAACTGCAAAACAATCAGTTTCAGACACGACCAAATGTTAACACTGTCGATAATCTATATCCACAAAACCAGATGCAAATAAAGACTTATCATTCTATATAATATGTGATTTTTTAAAATAACAGACTTAATAACAGAACATCTTCACTTTGCTTGTGACGTCATGTGGTAGTAGAAGTGAGGATTATGTACAGTTATGATGCAAGATGTCGCCGCAGCCGGACGTTATGGTTTTGTAATGGTCTTCAATTCAATAAAACCGTAACATCTTATACATCTGTTCCTTCATTACTTGAATAAATGTAAAAGATTTCATGGTTGCTGAATATTTTGTTGTGAGAGGAATAATCTAGTTTCTAATTTAGTATCTTATTGCCTCCCTTTATATAGTTACCTTATTTTCTTGAACAAAATATATTTCATACCGTCTTACAGATATTGTTAACGTCTTATTCTGTTTTGTAAAATAGCTCGATTGAACATATTAAGTTTGTATCAAAGTATATCGCTTTGTGTTAACAACAAACACATTTTGCATAAAAATATACGATTTGTACATTATTTATTATCTTATTTCTTAATTCTGCTGATACTCTGTCATTTTGCTGTGATTTCAAAGCAATGTATCCTATCATTGTCATAAAAATAATGCGACGTGAGTTTACTCCCTTATTGTAAATAGTAAGAGTTACCTCTCTTTTTCAAAGCTTGATCATTATCACGTTATGAAAAATTAAAATTCAAAAACTGAAATACTTAAGAACGTGTTGTATGGAAATACAGAATACATAGTCCAACAGTTAGCACGACGATTTCATCTTGAACTTGTCAGATAAGATTTGAAAACATTTTTAAATTAGATTTATTTAAATGTTTTTCTTATAACTAAGTGATTTTAAAATGATATGTTAACGACTTTTGTTATTTTCAACAGACTTGTTTTAAATGTCAATTTTGAATCAAACTTAAACAATACATTTGAAACAATACATTTGAAACAAATTGTGAAATTGGAAATGGTTATCTATGCTTCATTATATTTATATGGAGTTTTGTTACTTTATTTTTAAGACTGCGTCATGTAATAATAAACTTGTTATTTTACAAATGTCTGATCATAATTCTTTACCGTGAAATAAATTATGCAAATTTTGCAGCGCAATACCTTGTCATGATTACGATACAGTAATATCATAAAATGAAGTTTAATCGTTTATACACAATATTCCACATCGAGAAATGAAACTGACATGTCACGTCTGAAATGATTACCGAAATAATGAGCGGGTGATTTCTAAATATCTAATCTTTTAGCATTTAGAGAACAAATCGTATTAGACATATCGTTGGCAATCAACTTTCGTTACACTGAGTATTACTTACGAGCATATCGTATTTATGCTAGGAACACTAGTAGGAAATAATTATTATCACCCAAATAGAGTAATGATTCCGCTGGGAGACGGGCTGAAGGAATGCCCCTAAACGCCATAGAAGACACGGATAAAATAGAAGCCTACCCCTTCATTCATCCCGGCGGAAGACGTTTTCCCATTAATTTTGAAAGGGCGGACAAATGTTGTCCTAAACTGAAAGATATCAATGACATGTAAATAATAGCATGAAAATTACACAGAGGGTAGGATACCTTAATTTTAGAATTTGAAAGTTATTAAAAGGATTATTACTGAATAATAGTAATAACTTGAATAATGAAAATTATAAAATATAGTTTAAATCGTTATTAATAAAGCAACACAGTGTCTGTCTTGAATAATTTTACTCTAAATTTTCACATTATTAAAGAAATTTTAGATGAAGAATATGATTTCTTTATATCAGTAAAATTTCTAAACGATTAAAGCAGCACGCCTCCAGATTCAACCTAAATTTCATGAAAATTTTCAAAATGTATCTAAAAGTAATTTTTGTGAAATGAACAAAAAAGTAATTGACACATTACAATCGGCACTTATAATCCACGTAAATTACCAAAAAGATGTCAAACTATGCAAAAATAGCCCCTACGGCGTTAGTAATGCAGTAGAAATAAGGTGATAAATACTACAAAAACACACTTATTGCACATAAAATATAAATTATTATTTGAATCTTTAATCTTTTTACTTTTCTTAAATTTTTAGTACAGTTTTACCAAGTTTAATTTTCTTAAAATAGTTTGGCTCATTTGGAGGCATGCAGCTTTAAAGTAAAATCCAAACATAAAAAATACATCGTGTACTATGTCATTTAAAGCCATCCATTAGCATTTTACTGAATAAATTAAAAAAACATTATCCGCCTATCAAACTTAAATGATGACTTTTCGCGCGCCTGTATAATTGTTATGGAGGTAGATATGGGGTGTTGCGGGGGGGGGGGGGGGTGTCCCACACCTCTTTTACATATACTCGTATTTTAAGGAAATCAAAAATAACATTCTAAAATTCAGTTTCTTAACTGTACTAATGAACTCAAAATGATAAAAACAGATACGGCTATATTTTCTTTTTATAATCAAATCGATGAATAGCGTATTCGTCTGCTTTTAAAGAGTCAATGTTTCCTCAATATTAGATTGATTCATAAAAACATATAATTATGCAAATTCGTTAAACGATTCGATTTAGTTTCAACTATTGAAGCTTGATAAAAGTTAAGATGTGAATGGATTTTGTTGCTGTGTTTCAAGGGCAGATAACTGATGGAATATTGTTTAATGAAATGTAACTATTGAAGAAAGTTTCATTTCATTTTCAAGAGCGTGGTATTGCTGAATGTTTAACTGCAATATGTATCAAGTTCTATCTAAATTTGTACTTGAGTGCGACCAAAGTGCGACGAGGAAATAGTTCCTAAGAGCGGTGAGCTAAGTGTTTCCCCAGTGCGGTAAGCAAAGTGTTTCGAAAGAGCAGCGGATAAAGTGTTTTGCACAGTGTGTTTTTCATGGAATGGCACTACTGTGTCACATTGAAGGTTCCATGATAACCGCCGTATG